TATATTGGAATAATTAATATTCGTCGTCTTTTTATTAAGAAAGAAATCATTGATTCTTTATAAAAATAAAAATGTTAAACACAGTAATGAAAGTTTGACTTCAACAAAAAAGTGTGAAATCAATCAGCGGAGGTACGAAATGGAAGGAATTATTACCTAAATATAGGCAATTGATCACGTACTGGCGAACACGGTTCGTTACTTTATTATTTAACGAACTGTACACGTTGTACTGGGTGTTATACTCGCGGCACTACAAGACAGAAATGGTTAGAAACCAGGATCGCAGAATAATGAATGATGTAAAGTTTTTTTTTTCTATCTATATCTATGTAGATTCCTTTTTTTGTGTGTGGAATTTCAAGATATTTACAGCTTATATAGAAGTAGTAGAAGTCTGAATAGCCAATTATTTTTATGGAGATAAAGAAAAAAACATTAACAATGGTTATACAAAGCTACGCGCTTCCATTTCATCACATAATCACATTAACAGCCTTTAATAGTCTACTGCCGAACGTAAGCCTCTCCTTACAAAGGTGGTTTTGGCCTCCATTTCATCAATCATCATCAATTGATTTTGTAAGTGTATACGATGATGGTTCAAGATATACTCACAGCGATGCACTCTTGAGTATCATTGACGGCAGTCAATTACCAGCAGGTGACTGTCTTCCCAATTACACCGTCTGCCTTATGAAAGTCAATTAAACTTTTTGATTTACTTACTATAATTACTTTGAATTACAGTACTTGATTTAATTGTCCTTAATTAAAATATTTCTTTTCTTACTTTTACTAAATCTTGCTTGTTAGGGGCTTTGCAAGTTATGCTCGCGAAGGAGACGGCGGAGCGGGACCGAGAGAGGTTTAGGACTCTCCCGGCCCGCCAGGCCCGGGAACGGGCCAGGTACCTCAGGCGACTCAGGCGCCGGAGGTCGCAGAACGACCTCCGTCCTCCATAAGCGCAGGCCTGGGGGTGACAGGTGAGGCCATCTGTCACCCTAGCAGAAGCAGGCCGGGGTGGCGGCGAGCGTGTTGCGAAGCGCGCTCGCTTCCAGGGAGCACAGGGAACATGGGGTTCATACACGGGGGGGGGTCGTCTACTCGTCTGTATATGACCCGAGGTATGTCGGGGCACCAGGGACTTCCTTTCTAGGGTATACCTGGTTCCCCGGCTATTAGTACCCGAGACGGCGTGCTTTTTTAGTCGGTTCGAGTCCGACATGCCACCGACAGGTGGTATCCGAGGGGATTTCCGCACGGAAAAAAAAAAAAAAAAAAGGGGCTCGTGACCGAGTCAGGAAGCACATTACAAAGTTAAGCAATCCTAGCCAAGTCGTTGTTGATATATTTGTAAGCTCGGTATAAGTTTACAAAAATATTTTGATTTTAAAAATTTGATGAAATCCATAGTTCGAAATGCTATTTATTGCAAGGCTTAAAAATAATACGGTAATTAGTCGATACTTTATAAATAATTCAATCCGTTCAATCGATTTTTCTACGAGTAAAATGGTATCATATTTTCTCTTTCATCGGTATGTGAGCGTAGAGACAAGGAGAATGAGAATCTTTGAATGAGTGACCACTGTTAACATACTCGTATTGAGACCTCTCTGTACCTCGGAGAGCACGTTAAGACGTCGGTTCAGACGCGAATATCTGTGGCAATCATTACGCATAGTTGGAACAATAAAAAGTCCGACAGTGTTCTATCTACAGAACTTCGATATCGCCTTGTTGGTCTGTGGGTTTCGGAGGTCTGATGGTAGTCGCTCACTAAAAAATTGAAGTTCAGTCGTATTGTAGTAGACTGTTGACAAACTAGTTTGAGAAAAAGGTTCGGAGGATGATTTTCACCTTTCTCTTACATTGCAATTCTATATTATTTATTTAGAAATTTAACACTAGAACTATCGTAAATGGTGTACTGGTAACAACAACCAATCCACTCTCTTAAATATCTTTGTTTTACGTGTGGAAACCCTTGGGCCGTGACCCGGAGTGTTGTGGGTCCGATCCCCACACAGGACGACACTTTGTATGATCCATGTGTTCTTTGTGTATGTTTGTAAAGTCCCCCGCGACACATGTCATATTCCTAATGCGGGAGTTGTCATCTTTAAAGAGCAAAGACCCCACCACGGTTTGCGGCAGGCGGTGTGTTAGAATTGAACTGACTAAAACTACACGATGGGTGCTCCTATGCGACTGAAATAGTAGAGATCCGGATTCAGATCACTCTCTTAAATATATCTCAACAATAATTAAACCCCAGCTAACATCACAGATAAACAAAAGGAATTTACAATGAAGAAAAACGGTTTAATTTTTTAATCAAATTAAATACTAAACATGTATGAATAATTTCTCCCTAATTTAGTATTCATAAACAACAGGTTACCCTTCACTTCTGTGTTTCGGGTAATTTCACAATATGAATAAATTAATTTTTAATACTCACCTGTTTGAACATAAAGGAATATTATAACGACTGTGTCGGTGGTGTAGTGGTAGCGTATGCGATTGCTTTGCCCAGGTCTTGGGTTCGAGTCGGACATAATAGTTGTATGATCTGCAGGTATTTGTTTCGGAGTTTGGGTTGTTTCTATGTATAATATGTATGTAAAAAAAGTATATAAGTACCTATTCTATTAGTCAATCTAGCTTTCATAGTACAAGCTCTGATTAGTTTGAAACTGGATTTCGTTGTGTCAGATATCCGAAGTATTATTATTATTATAGTACAATCTTTGCTTAGTTTGAAACTAGATGGCGTTGTGTCTCACATGTCCGAATATATTTATTTATTTATTATCCCAACCCTTATCCCAATTTTGCAGTATGTACAATTCTTCCATTCTAATCTATCATTCGTCATTTCACTGTTTACTCCCTTCCTAGCCATATTCTCACTTACATAGTCCTTTCGACTATTCTTTGGTTTTCCTCTTCTCTAATAGTTTCTTCGCCACATTTTTCTCATCCCTCATTTATTTATTATTTAATGAAATTTCTAATCTCACATAAGGGAAAATTAATGTTATTTCACGGTGTTATTAGTGTTATTATTATCATCAGATGAACGATGTGGTTTTTAAACATCGTGGTTTTTTTATGGTTTAGGAAGCAAACGAGCAGTAGGTTCAACTGATGGTAAGTGACTACCGGGGCTAATGGACATATGCAGCTCAAAAGACACGAGTACACCGTCTCCTAGTGCCACAACCCGCAGAATCCTTTGTAGGGTCGTATATTTTGTAAAAGATGATCTGTAGTTCACGTAAGGTATTAGATATAGAATATGGCTTATAAATTTTAATGTTTTAGAGACCTATACCTATACCATATTTCATATTTTTTATGATAATTACTCGTATGACGGATTTGTGTAATGGACTGCTATATAAACGTTGCGGGTTCGATTACCGCCCAAGTCAAACATTTGTGTGCATGAACATTTAATATTTGATTTGGTCTGGGTGTTTCTATGTATAATATGTATGTATTTACAAAAAAAAAGTAAATATGTATTTATATCAGTTGTCTAGTACCCATAGTACAAGCTCTGCTTAGTTTGGGACCAGATGTCGTTGAGTGAATGTGGCAGAATATTATTATTCTCTTTATTTCATACCATATACGTATAAATTACATTTTTAAACATATTTAGGTACAAAAAAAATTATAGTATAAAAATAGTGTCCCATCGGTATCTGGTACAGGGACCAAGATACCGGAGGTTAGGACTACAGAAACAGAAACTTCCTTGCAATACGTGCCGTATCGAGAAAATTTGCTGTCTGCATCAGGCTCTTAATCCAGTTGCCTAACGCGAGCCTCTGAAGGTGTTGGTCGAGGCTCTTAGGAATTAATTAATTAATTTATTTATTTTAAACTTAATGCACATATTGTACAAAGGCGGACTTAATGCCATTAGGCATTCTCTCCCAGTCAACCTTCAGGTAATGTAGAAATATGATGCGGTAGGTGCAAAATAAAATATGATATTAACATAATTTAGGTCCAGAAACATACACAATATAAAAACACACATGCATTCATAAACCTACATAAATTTAATACAATATATAAATACTCAGTCGGGAACTAGAGCTGTAACTATTTCGCCAATTCACCCCGAAGAAGATCGCTCACTTTTCTCTTGAATGCGAGGCGATTTGTTGACATCCTGATTTCGGTAGGGAGGGCATTCCAGAGGAGGACTGACTGGACGTAGAAGGAAGAGTTGATGAAGTTAGAGGTGTGAGGGGGGCATAGAAGAAGCATATTGTTGGTTAATCGAAGATTTCGATCGTGATTGGAGCATAGGAAAAGGAAGATTAATCAATCGACCGATATAACTATCTGTCAATATCAAAATATCTATATATTTATACGCGAAGAGAACACTTTGTACCCCTTTTAAGAAAATTGTGCGAACGGATGAACGTGAAATTTGATACCGTTAAAGTTTATACGAAGAAGAGGTGCATAAAGCTACCTTTTATATGAAAATATGTATTATAAATACATTAATTTAGTTAAAATAAACATTACACACACTACTGCTTGAATGACACACAATCTTTGATTATAGAGATACAGTCTTTGACGAAGGAACCCCCGCGACACAGGATATTTTCCTACTGCGGGCGTTGTCATAAAAAAAAAATTTTTGTAACATTGTTAAATTCGGTAAATTTATTCCTTCTGCGAGATGCAGACAAACTTGCGTGGGTTAGTTAATTTTAATACAAAACCTAGATTAGTAATAGACTTACTGCAGTCTTACTTACCTTGTGTACCGTTCGATATTAAAATGTCTTTTCAACGTAAAAAGCAAAAATAAAACCTTAACTTACCGGCTTCAAACTTGAAACATTCATTTGATTCATCATACATTCGTCTCTCTTTGTATGTCCTCACGTGTACCACTCATTATTCGCCATGTTTGTAATTAGAGGAATTACGGCTTTCCACCACAGTTATTTGCAATGGATCATCTTGCACCACCGGTTATTTCTAAAGAAAGCTTACTGAACACACTGCTAACGAGCCCGATCGTGTGTGCTGTACAGCTTTATGCTTGTACACAACACTGCCATTTAGGCGAGGGCCATACAAACAGCGGGTATGCTAGAAAGCTTTAATATAAAAAAGAAAACATGTATAAGTGACTTAAAAAGCTTTAACAGGAATTTTCTAAAGAAAATATTGATTTTACTACTCAAACGTTTTATATTTTGCCATTATTAAGGTAAATAACAACTACATGGATGGCATAATGGTTTTATCTTGGCTATCACCTTTCCGCTGCGTTCTGCGCCGAGTAATGTGGGTTTGATCGTTACATGGGACAACACTTTGGTGTTCTGGTGTTTTTTGTCTCCATTTCATGTATGCCTGTAAAGTACCCCACGACACAGTAAATATTCTAAGTGCGGATTTGTATTATAAAAAAAGAAACTATAAATATTACTTCTTACCAGAAAATATTTACTGTAGCCTACTAGATAGATAACTTAAAGGCTGGTAACACTTATTAAAAAAACTATTAAGTGTACGGGTGAACTTAACAGAAGTGGCAAAATTTTGATGTCTTCTATTTGACTTTTAAGGCCAACTCTATTTGTGTAGTGACGACGGTAAATTTGTTAAACAAAAAAAATTAATCTGTCAATTTTTTTCCAAATTTCAAATTTCTAATCCGTTTCTTAACATGTCTGCCAACTATAAATCAAAACATACTGATAATGTTTCTTTATGGTATAGGATAAATGAGCAGACCAGTTACCTGATATTAAATGACTGCCTATTGAAGTGAGGTGCCTATAGACACCTACAAATCAAGCATCACAAGTGTGTTGAACTCTTTAAGACTCCCCCCCCCCCCCCCCTTAAGATTAGAAGGAAAGGAATTTGGGCTTCGTTACCACGCACTTGGTGAAAAGCAACAAAAAATTGGTATCACTCAAGTCGAGCCGGCTCATTTGTATTAAAGCCCTTTGAAAACTTACATTACAAACATAAAACATTACACTATAATAAAATAAACTATTCAGGCTCATTCAAGCCTTCTTATTTCAAACCTTTAATCGTGATGACTGCTATAAAAAACCGCTTCTATGAATAACAAAAGGCAATCTAGAAAAAGTTAGTTGGCAAATAAATTAACTTGTTTTTGCTGAATATCGTTTTCAAAGGTTCCGTGTAGTGTTAGCTCGTAAAAGATAAAGGCGATACCTGGTTCAGTAGCAACGGACTGTAATAAATTCAAGGCTATTGTTCTCCATAAAACTCCAGTAAGTAGATTAAAGGGCATAAAGGCTTTTTTGGTCTTAAGTTAAATTAAGTATATCGATGGGTTGTACTGACGCTAAAAGTAGGGAAACAATAATTGGACGATGAGTATTAAATATTGAGGGTTAATAACTTGAAAGAAAATCTTTTGATATTATTAATCTTTATTGTCACAGGTTAAAAATTTATTCTTCATATTCAGAAAACACTAGTTAAAAATTACCACTATTAAGACTGCTGCAGAAAAATTTCTTAATTTCTATTTTTTAACTTACTGTTCATAATAACATAATATTATAATAGAAAATAATAAATATAATTTTTAGATGCAGTAAAAATCTATATATGTAAATGTATGTAAAAAAAAACATAAATATAAATATTAAATGACTATCTTTTTTTTTTTTTAGTTTTGTACAAATAGTCATTTGTGATGTTGATTCACCTTCGTTGCGTTACCTGCTTTATTTCTATTTATTTAATAATCTGAATATAAATGTGTGTTTGTTTGTTTTCGCACCAATGTAATGAATCAAATAGTTTACAGATCACCATTTATTTTTCATAACCTTCATAATAACAAAAACATTAATATTAGTCCTTTTCGTCAGGTGTTCCTAAACTACTAAAAACGCGTAAAAACTATTAAGTGCTCACTGATATAAGTGAAAACCATTTAAATGTCAGCATAAAATACGAAATGTAATGAATACACAGACATATAAAACATTAGTAGGTAGTTATCGTGATAGCTCTATTCTCTTTGTCCTCCAGTCCAGTTTATTTCTCACCAAAAGACAAAAACAAAGACACACATTCATAAATACAAGACAATTGCTTAACACTTTATGTATGTAAACTACCGGAAACCTGTCGTGATGAAAGAACGGAAGCAACGAAAACTGAATTCGCCGTCGCTCGCTCAACAGTCGACTTAATGGCCATACGCTCATTGTCATACTATTTCCTCAACTTTGTACTCTAAACGTAGGAAGGTAAGTTTCAATTTTCGTTAACCCATGTGTTATGATGCAGCCATTCTGTAAAGTGTAGTCTGTACATTGATAAATTTGTGAGGTTTAGATAAGGCGTTTTTAAAAGGTCTTTCTTTTGTACACCATGATGAAAAATATCGTGGTGGAAGGGTTCCAGGCTGTGTTTTAGACTTTAATTTGGATATCGATCTGTCTGGAACGGCTTTTTGGTTAAATGTGTGAAAAAGTAAGACGTGTGGAGAGTTAAATATATGAGCATTCATTAGTGAGGGTTTTTAATTAAATTATATCAAATCTTGTCATTTTCTAAGTGTAAAAATATTTAGTTTTGATAACATATTGGTTTCAGCTGCACTATTATTAGCAAAAGAGGGTATTTTTTCCTTTGATAGTAATGTAATAATAATAATTAAATAAATAAAAATGATATCTTTTTAAATTATCAGTGAAATTTAAATAATACTTTCTATAATGGTTAAGATTATTAATTAAAAAAGGCTATTGGACATACAATGGAACAACATTAATTAACCACACATAACGTAGTACATAATTGTTCCAGGAGGGTCATTGGGGATTTGTTAATTTTTGGGTTTTTTATCATTAGCGACCGTTTGCCATCAGTTAGGTAGACTATTTTTACATCCTTAATAGGAACAACCAATCGATATTAGGAGTATTCTGAGGCTGGATCATAATCAATCAAGCTAATATGGAGTAATAATTAGTATGATAAAATAAACAGTTTTATATTTTTTTCCTAAATATTGCATATTTTGTCCTCAGTTTCGATGTCCGCGGAAGAAGTTTCAACAAAGCCCTTCATTGGTCAGACCCTTTGGCCTTTGGAAGACGGGCTTATTTCGTCACTATATCCAGACCCTCGGCACTTACCGTGGACACTGTTCAACTTGATGATGAAGGGGTCTACAGGTGCAGGGTCGATTTCAAGAATTCGCCGACCAGGAATTTTCAGATCAGGCTGAATGTTGTTGGTGAGTTTAATTATAATATACCGTCTAATCCCATACTAGGCAGAGCCAGTGCTATGGTGACCAGACTACTGTTCCGGATGTCTTAATAACACCAATTCCTGGATCGGAGGGATCCAGGATATTACAGGAGCAGTGGCACACCACGTGGTTTTAGTCGGTCCGATTCCGCGCACCACGCCGCTGCAAACCCCGGTGTGGTGACGGCCCGATGGGGTTTCGGCACGTAAAAAAATGGTGACCAGACTGCTGATAAACTTACTTATATTTTTATGAATACATATATATTATAGACAAATAACAGTCAGATACAGAACAAAGGATCTGCTCATCAGGCAATTTATTTGTCATGGGTGGGAAGCGAACCTCTGGCTAGCAGTTAAGATTACTAAATACTAAACATCCAATTAGGGATGGAATAATTATAATAATTTGACTGTACGGATGGCGTAGTGGTTTAAGCGGTCGCCACGCCGCTTCCTACTGCGCCGAGTGTTGTGGGTTCAAACCCCACATGGAACGACAATTTGTGTGATCCACAAATTGTTGTTCTGAGTCTGGGTGTTCTTTGTGTCCGTTTCATATATGTTTGTAAAGTCCCCCGTGACACAGGAATGTATTCCTACTGCGGCAGTTGTCTTTTAAAAAAAAAACACAACCACATTGATAAATCATATTATTTATAAATAATAGCATCAAGCATGTGACTGATTTACAAAACCACTGCTACTTAATTACTATCATTACGCTAAAAAGTAATATTTGTCTGATTTTCATTTTGATTGATTTTAATGTCATTTATCTTTGTCTATGACGAAATCACAATCATATGTGTAATCGCTGTGACCATTGCAATCATTTCATCAAATGAATATCATTTAAAAGTAGCAATAATTACCAATTTAATTCAAATCAACCTACTATTTGCCCAATTTTATTAAGGGTTTCCGCATATAATTGCAAAGGATTTTGTTTTATTTTTTTGGGAATGTAATCATTTCCGACAATAGCAGAAAGTGATTTGGGATATGAAAAAAGAATAAGACAAAAAATGTAGAAAAAGGCACACTGCTAGTTTTGGATGAGGAAGACTGAAAGTACAATATGCGAATGCTGTGCTGAGGTCTCGGGTTCGATACTACTGTTCGTTGTTTATTTGTTTTTTTTTCTTCTTATAAAAGACAACTCGCGCATTAGGAATAATATATCCTGTGTCGCGGGGGACTTTACAAACATACATGAAACGGACACAAAAACACCCAGACTCAGAACAACAATTTGTGGATCACACAAAGTGTCGTCCCATGTGGGGATCGAACCGACCACTTAAACCACTACGCCATCCGTGCAGTCGTAATTGTAATTAGTATCTATAAATTACATGTCCAGATTTTTCTCTTCTTCTTCTGAGCTGAGCTTCTTCTTTTGAATCTTCAAAAAATCTAATCCTTAAAGTACTTACTTAGAAAATGTTTTCTTCTCTAGTACCTCCACATCAACTGCTGCTTTATGACGAGGCAGGCCGCGATGTCGCCGGCGTCGTGGGCCCTCTCGAGGAGGGAGGCAATTTCACTCTTCTCTGTGAGCTTAGAGGAGGTAAGTGCCTATTACTTTAAATTTTAGTTTTATTTTTATTTTATACCGAAAAAGTTCTCCTAAAAAAAAGCGTTTGGATTGGATTCACGCGTGAAAGTGACGATTCGGAACAAACCTGCTGCAAAGGAACTGTAGTATCACTTGAAATTCATAGAAAAGAAAATATCTTTAAATAATAAATATCATTAACAAAATAATATTTATGAACGTTAAATATTTTCACATTTTCTTTTGGAACTATTTTGCAACGCAATGCGCAAATTGACTGAGTAAGCCATCTGGTAATAAAACTCATTCACGCTCACTTTTACTTTCAATTATCAGCAACAATTTTTTCCTTGACAGTAAATAATATCTAAAAGTTTGCAGCATATGTGGTAGAATAGAATGGACTTGCTAGACCAAACTTTAGTAGTATCCAAACTTTAATAATCCTCTCACTGGATCTACCCTTTTATACGCGATTTTATTTCATTCATAATTCAAAATTTATTTATTTGCCGATCAAAGGTTTTGGTCTACCTTAACGACCTGCAAAAATTGAATACAATAATTGTAAATTGATTTAGAATAAGAAATTACTTTTTCAATAAACATATTAAATAAAAATGACAATTTAAAATATCAAAATGTCAAAATGTTACAATTATACTTAACGTTACAAATAAACTTATTTAAATAAGCAACAAGTTCATGTCAAATATAAAATTAAAAGTAAACTTGCATTCCCGCCGCTGGAGCAGAATAAGTTTCGCTTCCACGTCAAAGATTAACCTTTTGTAGAAGAACCAGCTATCACTATTAACTGTCAGTTGTAACGTTCTGATTTTGAGCTTTCAGTCACATTTCTCTGAAAGAAGAGAAAGGCAAAGTAAGATCATAGTTTTGTGTAACTCCAACATTATTTATATGTTAAATATAGAGGAAAGAAGAGGAAATCAAGAAATTAAGACTAGTAATAAGTCAATGTCAATTGGATTTCATGTTTTAAGAAAGTTATTCAGTGTTGTAGCTAATAAATAATAGGTCTTTACCTATGAAATTGCCGTTTTGTATGCAATAAGTGAAAGTACTTATTTTTTCCAACTTTTTTATTTCTGTTATTCGAAGTAATCACCCATGCAATCGACGCATCTTTGCCAACGCATTGGCAGTTTATTGATGCCCTTCTTGTAAAAATACGGACTTAATGCCAGTGAATCATCTTAAGGTTGACTGGTAGCAGTCAACCTGGAGATGGTTCAGTAAGAGACATGGTAGGTGCACATGTATTATGTAACAAGAAAAGGAGCTACCAAAATATAACATTAATTTGATAATGTTATTCAAAATACATAGGCGAATACATAAATACATAAATAAATCTAATATATAAAATTCACGTGTCACGGTATGCGTGGTTGAACTCCTCCGAAACGGCTCGACCGATTTTCGTGAAATTTTGTGTGCATATCGGGTAGTTCTGAGAATAGGCCAACATCTATTTTTCATACCCCTAATTATTATTAGTTTATATTTTTTTTAAATAATGTATATGGCAAAACAACGTTTGCTTGGTCAGCTAGTATTTATATAATATATATACCGAACAAAATAAATACAATAATATCTGAGGTGACGAAATCATGAGGTTATTTCTGCTAGATGTTTCCTGTAGAATTCTCGGATTTTAGCTTTGAACGTGTTATGACTTACTGACATCCTGATCTCAAGTGGGAGCGCATTCCATAGTAGAATAGATTGGCAGCAAAAGAAGAATGAACAAGAGAAGAAGTGTATATTTGAAACAGGACTAAAAAAATATTAGTGGACCGACGACCTCTATCATGATTGGAGCATAGCGGCGCTTTAGGTGTTGAGCTCTCAGAATTAGAAATAGGGGGAGGGGTATTTCGCAGAACGACCTCCGACCTCCATAAGCGCAGGCCTGGGGGTGACAGGTGAGGCCATCTGTCACTCTAGCAGAAGCAGGCCGGGGTGGCGGCGAGCGCGTTGCAAAGCGCGCTCGCTTCCAGGGAGCAGAGGGAACATGGGGTTCCGACAAGGGGGGGGTCGTCTACTCGTCTGTAGATGGCCCGAGGTATGTCGGGGCACCAGGGACTTCCTTGCTAGGGTATAAATGGTTCCCCGGCTATTAGTACCTGAGACGGCGTGCGGTTTTAGTCGGTTCGAGTCCGACATGCCACCGATAGGTGGTATCCGAGGGGATTTCCGCAACTAAAAAAAAAAAAAAGCGGGAGGGGTATTTGATTGATTTGGAACGTCACTGACTCGGTAAAAATCAACGAACGAATTGGTTCACATCAGTTTCTCAAAATTTTAGATAGTTGGACACTTGAAATCACCGTTCCCAATCTTTTTTTTCTTGTGGTGCGTTTAGAGAAGGTGAAACCTTTTTAGCGGCCGCCGTGCGGTGTCACCACTCATCACAACTTTCGTATGATTGTTAGTTGTAATTAAGATGGATGATCTAATCACTTTTACACTATATAGTCGCTAGAGCCTATTTCATTATAGCATCTTTTCGTCAAAACACCTATGTGACCTCCACAAGACTGACTCCCGCGTACTCAAAATAAACGCGCCGTTTGATAAAGCGCTCCGAACTATTATTATATTGAGAGTCTACTCATTGAAGCATATAATAAGTAAATATTTATAGTAATAATTTAGCAAACAGTCGCGTTGTCATCACATCCTACGACTACTAAAGTCTTTTATTCACATATAAATTTCGAGTTTTAATATTTTAAATTTTAACATGTGACGTCACAAACTTTTCGAGTTTGAGAGCTGGTGAGCATATATGTTATACATCGCCCTCATACGGTTAAAGTATAAAAAGAATGCCTTAACACCGGTTTTCTGTAAAGCCGGGCGTATCACTCCCATCGAACCGTCCCATTTGTGTCGTAGCATCGCTCTCGCACGATAGACTAACATATTAATATAAAAAATAAAAAAGAACTCGTTAAGATTGACTGGCAAATTAATTGGCATTCATTTAGATATCTGCATTTTCTGGAAACATGTGGGAATAAATATTTTACTTTCTAGTCTATTCTCTATTAGTCAAAGGTTTGCCAAGAAAACTCAACTATCTATAGGCTTTATATAACTGTCTTCAAACATGCCTGAAGCTTTCTTTAATACGTTGTACGAACAGAAAACCTAAATCCAAACCAAATCCAAGAATACAACAACAATTGAACGTACAAAAGAGTAATCTAAAAAAAACTTGTATCCACGCAAGCTCCAGACAATCACGAATAATACTTATGTCATCACTCACTCAGACAAGCGAACAAAGAAACATACTCTACCGAGAAATAACCAGGAGGGGGTGTAAGAAGGCTAAAAGGGGGAATCGGAAAACACAAACTATTAGTGTTACAAATTACGCTTCGCCCACAAAAGCGGAGTGAGCATTTTTCTTACGGATATAGACGTAACTTCACACGAGATTTAAAATGGAAACAATATCGATTTTAGACCTGGCTGTTGGGATAATAGATACGATCCTAAATAAATACTCTTCCTGTATTACTTATTAGATACTGATTCCTATAATCGACTTTGTTTAGTATCATTATTTATGTATATATGTATGTATAAACTGCACGGATGGCATAGTGGTTTAAGCGGTCAGCTGAGTGTTGTGGGTCCGATCCCCACACGGGACTACACTTTGTGTGAGCTGGACATAGGCCCCTCCTTCTAAACGAGGTTTTGGCCTGTCAAGTTTTCCTTCTCCTTGCAGTGCTGTATATCCTGTGTCGCGGGTTACTTTATAAACATACATGGAACGGACACAAAGAACATCTAGACTCAGAACAACAATTTGTAGATCACACAAAGTGATGTCCTATTTGGGGATCGAACCCACAACACTTTAGCGCAGTAGGAAGCGGCGAGGTGGCCGCTTTAACCACTACGCCATCCGCGCAGTGCGCTTCTTGGTCCTCACTTGGGACTCATGGGACCCATGGGATGAATAGGGGTGTTGACACACTGTATTTTTAATCCGTCACCACACGGACCACCAGATTTAAAATAGCGATCAAACCATGTATTTTTAATTAGGACAAAATAGTTAATGTATTATACTTTCTAGATTCCTTTAAAACATATGTATTTAAAATAAACTCAATACTATGCAGTATTAAGTTTTTTTTTAAAGACAATCCAATACTATTGCAAGTTATGGCAGCACAGATATTTTGCTGATTTCTTAAAACAAAGTCATTTTTGTTTTTGTTGCCTTTTGCTTTTTCAAGTTTGTAAATAGTCGACGAAAATTTAGAGAATAACAATTTATAACCCCTTATAATTAGACGATCTTTAATTGAAAAACTGATGGTATTAATATTAAATATTTAAAGCAAAACTTTGTTGGCTGCCATTGAGGTTGCGCTAAATTAGACTAAATGGAAATATTTAAATTTTAAATCTGCGAGACTGTTAGTTGTTAGTGTTTTAAATCTATACCTTGTTTTAAATATAAACAGTTGTATTGCACAGGAATAATGAAATCCTTTTATTGTTTTGTATGCCTATTGGCGAAACATGGCGATCTTTTTAAATATGGTTTGTAACATCTGAATTTACCTGTGTTTTACGAAATAAATGATTGATTGATTGATTAATTGATTGAAGACTTAGAGCATAAAGTAGATTAGCTAAAACAAAGCAATTTAACTGGCCTGTGTATGTCTAGTGGTATACCCTCCCAGAACAAATACTTGTATGATGCGCCCGATCATGGGTGTAATTGGTCTATAATAAAAAGAGAAAGAAAAAGATGAAAACATTTGTTATTGACAACAAAAAGAGGCTGTATAGCAAAGGTTTTTTGGAAATATTTAAGCATCAAGTGACTTTCCATCATGGTGCGGTGTACGCCTTGCTATTGACAAAACCTCTCTCATTAAGCTTTAACAAACAAACAAACAAACAAGTTTATTGAACCATCAAAGTCACATTTTGATAGGTGCTCTGTC